TCCAAAGAAAATGTCTGATATAACTACAGACAGGTATGTTGATTCATCTAAATTATTCTTGTAATTGTATCTCTTTAATTGAGCTTGTTGAAAAAGTTCTGTTGACTTGCATATTACCTTCTTTATCCATCTGACAATGACATATTACATGCAGCCTATCCATCTTCCAAGTAGTGAGACCCATACCTGGTAAGAAAGATGATTTGGTAGATAGTTAAAACTAATTGCTTCCATAAACAAATACTTTATCTAGGTTAATTTGCATCTAAATTAATTGCCTATTGTTTGAAAATATCTCTGATTTGTTGACATATCATCATTTATGTTTTTATTCCAGAAATTTTGATAATTGGCACTGGAAGATATATCCAACCTGTAGATCCTGAGATACGAAAGTTCATTCGATCTACAGGCATGAAGTTAGAGGCTGTTGACTCTGTAAGATCAGTCAACACTTTATCTTTTCTTTATTTTGCAACATTTTTAATACTAAATGCTACAAGACATTGATTTATGATATGTATTGTATGCATATTTATTTGTTGTTGCAGAGGAATGCTTCATCTACATATAACATACTAAATGAGGAAGGAAGGATTGTAGCTGCTGCACTTCTTCCATATGGAGTTTCTGATTTGTAACCAACTTCTTAGTTGCCATTTTTGTTTTATTGTTGCATAAGAGTCTATAACATTTCCATGAAAAAATATCAACGTATGTTGTGTTGGGGTGTTTTATGAACATTGTAGCTTTTATTATTTTGAGATGATGGAAAATTGGAAATGATTGACAATGATCAAACATTCATTTTGTTTAAGAAAATATTCAGTAAATGATATCTTTTTATTAAAAATGATGAAAATACAATGTTGGTTGCAACAAGTTCAATCCATTTTTTTGTCACATAAATGGAACTATAAACCATAATTAAGGGACTTCTAAAGCTTACACATTATCAAATATCTTTCTATGACATAATCAAACATTACTCAATCCACTTGAGGAAGCAGCCCAATCTTTCAATTTCCATGATTAAAATCGGTGCTTATGAGGATTTCAGGAAAATTGAACAGGTAAAGGATTTAGGAGAATTAAAATTGGTGTTTATGAGGATTTAACATTTGGGAGAATTACTCGAAGAGTTTAAATAAACACCTCGATTTTCAAATTTAACATAATATCAAAAATGTCAGATCCATCACATTTCAAGTATAAACATACAAATGGTTTTGATTGGAATGTGAATCCTAGAAACATCAGAAGCGACCCTTTCATCTTTCCTATTGATTGGAATATAATATGAATGTTAAAGATCTGTACACTTGTAAGGACTTGATCTAGTACGCAGCTGACTTTTTTTTTCTTCGATGAATTAATTTATCCTTTGTTGCAAAATAAACCAATATTAGCTCAAAAACAACTTAGAAGTGTCTTGTCTAATATGCATGTTGTTGGTTCCTTATAAACAACTATAATTGTACGTTTTATAGTAATATCCAAAGTAAAAAAGACGACAAATATACTGAGAGTTATATGTTTGATTCGCCACAAAAAATAAATCCAATTGTTATTACTTAATTACCACATGTCGTAGTGTGATTTTTGGAGGTGCGCAATAAATGGGAGCTGAGATGCCCTATTTATATTAACCCGAATAAGCTAGAATCATAAAAAAATGTATCGATGACGACGTCCGACATCTCACGGGCTGCCATATGGCAATTATAATGTTGTATATACTCGTTGTCATTATCTGGTAGCTCATCCAATTTCAAACCTGGTGTTTGGTTGGTTTCTAGATACTTATAAAGGATTAGTATCTCAACCGATGTCAACACGCTGACCGGTTCGATCCAAGTCCGAATCGAAGACTGCTAAAAATAAAAGATCTTTAACTCCCGATGTTTTGTGCAACGTGCGTTTAAATCACACCATTTCACGACCCTCGTGTCTTGCGTCCTTGAATGGACTAGGCGCGTGTGTGAGCTTGACCCACCCCTTGACCTTCACTAAAGTCTTTGCCGGCTTAAGGCAAGGAAAGCCTTATAAACCCATTAAAACATTCTTCCTTCTATATATGTGGGACAAAGGCAATCTACCAATTTACAAATATAGCCTCTTGAATTTTCAGCAGAAACACAATCGAATCAAGTTCAGAACAATTGACCAACAATTCGAAGGACCCCAACAACTACATTGCAATAATCAGACAAGTGCCGAAAAATATAACGCTTAAACCCTTAAATAAAAATTATGACCTCACGAGACTTTAACCAATAAAAATTATAATTGTTGTGTGGATGGTTGAACATTATGTTAGAAACAGGCAAAACATTAGTACTCCTAAGAAAAAGGTGTCTTGTGATCCATTGCCGAGCTTTATTAAGCAAAGATCTTAATCTATTATAAATGTATTCCACCATGAAGAATAAATCAAAACTGCAAAAGTTTATTGAAGTTTTTTTTTTGCCAAACCAAACAAACTTGTGAGTTCGAAGAGATGTTAAAGTCGAAATTGATTGTCTTGTTCATAAACCTCTGGATTTTAGTGAATAAATCAATAAAATTATAAATCACATCTAAGGTCAATGCAAAAAGGTGATGGAGGTGCCGAGTTCCATCTAAGATGATGCCATTTTTACCATGGTAATGGAGTAGGGGAGAAGCGAGAGAATAGCATGGTGGGTGAAGAGATGGACGAAAGAGACACAACATGATGGTGTCGAGCTCAATGTTATTTTTCGCTTTTCCGTAGAGATGTGTTGATGTTTTGCTTGTCATCGACAAGCCAGAGAGTCATATTGAACTCCGTTTCCCTTCGTTCTAACAATCACTATAACGACCTGCTTACTGAAAATTTCGCATATAATAATTTTTCTCCATGTACAACAATTTATGTTTTAAAATGTTTTAATATATAATTTTATAAAACATAAATTATTGTATAATTGTATATAGAAAAAATTTATATGGAATAGTTTGTAATTTTTTTCTTTTTATGACTTCCATATGGTCGGGTCCAGAAAGAAAGAAGTTGACATAGACCGTAGAGTCATGGGATGACTCTCACAACCAGTCTATCTTGTGTGGCACTTAATTTTTTTTTACTAAGTCAGACTACTTCAATGATCTTAGATGTACTAACGAAATTGAAAAGCAAGAGACTAACACTTCGAGAATACAAAAAATGTTTGTATTATAAGAACTCAAGAGATTACAACAACTACTCAATGATTTGCTACAAATGACATCACCCCGATTTATAGGGTTCTTACACCTCCTCAAATGGAAGTGTCTAGATCTCGTTCTTTCTTTACTATTCTAGATTGTTTCTACATGATCTTTATAATTACAAGGTTCTAAAATATACCCTACCAGTCTACGATGTCCTAGAGAATTCTAGGACGTTTCAAGACCTCTTGAGTTATTCTAGTATCCTTTAGCGTCCTCCGGATTGTTCTAGCTTGTTCCATAATCATCCATGGACTTCTACAAAAATCTAGCGTCTTTCGAATAATTCTTCGAAGTCCTATATCTTTCTTTGGTCTTCCATATTTTCGTAGAGTCTTTTTCTTGTCTTATGTTGCTTTCTCGATTTGCATCGAGTTGTCTCGAGTATTCTTGATCGTTTCGGTGTTCTCTAGACGATCATAAAAGCTTTCGAAAACTCGGTTCGTGACAGTAGGGTTTAAAATGTAGTAATGTGCCGTCTTTTAAAAAAGATATACTAAAAAGAAAGGGAAAATTTCATACACGTCCATACAAACGTCCTTACAAACATGAAGTATTACGTTTATATCCTTCCAAAGTTCATAATTACATACATGTCCTTGTTAACCTATTAAACTCACATTTATATCCAAAATTATATTTTAATTAGGTTTAAATAAATTTAATATTAAAATATTTATCTAAAATTTTAAAATACATATGATATTACTAAAATAGCCTTCTTGAATTAAATATTAAGAGCAAACCCAAGCCAACAAATTATATAAAAGTGACAAATCTTTAGCTTTTTGCTTATTTGAGAACGAACATTAACCATGAAAACCATGATCACGACAGAAATAAGCTTCACATTCCTTTCATTTTCCAAAATAAGTCCTACTTTTTATTTGTTGTTCTTTCACGCCATTGGATATTTACCAATGTGAGTAATATTTTAACAACAGTGAAATTAAAACAATTACCTATCTACGAGTTTGGCTTGAAAAGGTGTAATCGAGACACAAACTAACAGCAGCAACGGTTGCTAGTTTTGATGCTAACAGCATTAACTGTGAAACAGGGGAGCAAATCAACAATAAAAAATGAAACAGACTTATGAATTACATTTACACTCAATTCTAAGGTTCCAATTGACATTGATTTTAAGGGGATTCAAATCCGATTTTATTCCATTTTTCTTGAGATTTTGTTGCACAGGATAGGTGCTCCACTTTCTTGAATTTTTGCTCTGTTTTCTTGAGATTGGGATTCACTTGGTCAAATCCCATCAGAAGATGAACAATGTTATAAAAAATGTAGTTGGTTCACCAAAAACGAAAATAACCATTATAAAAAGGGAAATTTTCATATTTTGGTTGAAATTGTTGAATTTAGATGAGAATTTAAGAATTTTCAGCAAGAAAAAACTGGGAGCTTTGGGAGGGGTGTAATAGGAGGTAAACCGATCATGCATTGCTGATAATGATTGTTGATGACGATGGCACTCTAGTAAATAAATAGTTTAGTTTTCATATTTAATTCAAGAAGGCTATTTTAGTATCATATGTATTTTTTGAATTTTAGATAAAAAAATTAATATTAAATTGATTTAAACCTAATTAAAATAAAATTTTGGATATAAATGTGAGTTACTTAGGCTAACAAGGACATATATGTAATTACGAACTTTTGAAAAGATATAAATGTAATAAGGACATGAAATTTTCCCAAAAAGAAAATGTTTGAGAGTTACATTCTTAACGTACAGAAAAATATACAAATGTTTAAGCATGTTGTACAACCCAACAAAGTGGAACTTCTCTAGATTCGAAAGTTGTAGTTCTGGAACAAGCACAGCCGAAAATTGGCCAAAAACCTTCCGTTCATCCTCGTTCACCCGGTCGACATTTTCGTCTACTTAAGCCCTACACCACCAAATTCGAGGTTTTTGAGTTCTAATCATTCTCACAAATGTAATGTAGCTCTACTCATCGGTTAAATCTTGTTTTGAAATCTATATATTTTAGTTGTTTTGTTAAATCATTTTCTACAATTTTTGCAGAATTTGAAGATATCTTCTCATTTTCTCTCATCGATTCAATCGAGCATTGCAGTTGAAGGAACAATGTCTGTGAATCCTAAGATAGAGTCACAAGGTACATGCTTCAGTTTTCTGGTTAGAAATTGGATTTTTCCATCGAGTTATTTTCAATACTTTTCAATAAATTCTTAGCTCCTTTCACTGTTCACATTGAATCCCTAATCCATATTGTTTTGAGCTTGCGAATTCTGTTTCAGATACTTTAAAGCACAAAATATCCATCTCTAAAGATGCCCCAAAACACCATGTTGCATCAATCAGCACAAAAGAAGACAACCCCTTCAATTTTGTTCGAGTTTTATTAGGTATGTTGTATCATCTGAAGCATAATTACAATTAAAAAAAAAACATACAGTTGTTTAATTTCATGTAATAAAAAGATTTCCTTTTTTGCAGAGGGTGCTGTTGCTGGAGCTGCTGCAGGAGTTGTAGTTGAATCTGCTTTATATCCACTTGACACCATTAAAACTCGCCTTCAAGCAGGTAGCGTACAACATTACAACTGAAAATCATTTTTATGTAACTAATGTATGTGCAAAAGAACATCCTTTTCAACATACACTTTAACAAAGTTTTCCTTATGCATGCATGTTTTATAAACTTTGTTTAAATTAATTTTATACAACCTTTTTTATCCCAATATGACCAGTTTAATTTCATTCATTTTAGGGTTCTTATATATATTTCCATCGTTTCATGGTAGATAGTTCGTGGTGGAGGCCAAATTATCTTGAAGGGTTTGTACTCTGGTTTGGCTGGAAATCTTGCAGGCGTTTTACCGTAATTTTTTTTTAACTTTTTTCTTCAATTAATTTTGAGATTGTTGTATATTTTTGGTTTCTTTTAAAACACTTGTATTTTACTATTTTTGGGAAAATGTTGATGAATTCTTTTAATCCTTTCAGTGCATCAGCAATATTTATTGGTGTATATGAACCTACAAAGCAGAAATTACTGAAAATCTGCCCTGAAAATCTTAGTGCCTTGGCCCACCTAGTGAGTTCTTCAATTATGTACTTGTTAATCTTTTTTCTTATTTTTATTTCCTATATTTCCTGCATGAGGGGTTTTATTAATTATTAATTATTATATATAAATACATAGGTATATATGTATAGATAATTTGTCTCTTATTAAACTTAATGTAGACTGCAGGTGCTGTTGGTGGAGCTGCTTCTTCTATTATACGTGTGCCAACAGAGGTATTTTACTGTTTTCTCTTCACTTTATTTATATATTTTTTTTTAATTATTGAGATGCTAATTATTTACATTCTTTTTTAGGTTGTTAAGCAAAGAATGCAGACTGGCCATTTTGCTTCAGCACCTGATGCTGTTCGTCTTATTGTTGCTAAAGAGGGGTTTAAAGGTCTTTTTGCGGTATGTGATTAAAAGACGTAAATGCCCTTACTTATCATCAATATCAAATATAACCTACAAGGCTTGTCTCACCTTTTTGGGTGAGACAAAAACTTACAATTTTTGTCCTTTTGGCATATTACTCCTGGTCCCTGTTCTATGCACACCAAACGCAGTACAACCTGTCATGTCATGTCATGTCATGTCTTGTCAGTACTGGTATCTGGTATCTGTGTAACTACTTGTGTTCTTGATATTACAGGGGTATAGTTCGTTTCTTTTGCGAGACTTACCTTTTGATGCGATCCAATTTTGCATATATGAGCAGCTTCGAATTGGTTATAAATTAGCAGTAAGTTGACTTTGGTCAATGTTTTCATTTAATAGGAATCTAGAGACAATACAAGCAATCTTGTTTTTTATATTGTGAAAGTGAACCTTTTTTTTTTTTTTTTTTCTTTTTGTAGGCAAAAAGAAATCTTAGCGATCCTGAGAACGCTGTAATTGGTGCTTTTGCAGGTAATTAATTAGCTGTTTTTTGAAGAAAAGTTCAGTAGGTCATCCTCCACCTTTTTGTGCAAAATGACCAAACTACCCTTGGTGATTTTTTTTTGGTACAGGTGCAATCACAGGAGCTGTAACAACACCTCTCGATGTAATAAAGACTAGGTTGATGGTTCAGGTAAAGTCGATAAATCTATCTATTTTAACAGACAATTGTAACAAAAATGGTCTATGGATAAATTTTTTTTTAAAAAAATTACCTCTTTAATTTTGGTCTCTTGAAAATAGATTTAAAGAATTATGTTTACCTTTGGTGTATTTATGGTTTGCAGGGATCAGGTAACCAATACAAAAGTATCTCCCACTGTGTGAGCACTATTTTAAAGGAAGAAGGACCATCTGCATTTCTAAAGGTATATTTTATTAATTTTTTCTTTTTTTTGTAAATGTTTGTTTTTATTTATTGTCCAAAATCACCATTTGTTTTAGATTACTTTCATCTTAAGAAAGTTTTCTAGGGCTATTTTCGATAGTAAGGATGAGAAGGGCATTTATGTCTTTTGCACATGTAGTACAACTTGTTCTGTTCTGTTATGTCATGTGTAACAAATAACGGAAAGGGTGTTGATGATGACACAGGGGATGGGGCCAAGGGTGTTGTGGATAGGTATTGGAGGCTCCATTTTCTTTGGTGTTCTTGAAAAAAACAAAGCAGCTACTTGCAGAAAGGCGCCCCACAGACTCTAACAAGTTGGATTAATTCAACCCAAGTGTATCACTAGACATTTATTCATAAATTCATAACTCATTACTCAAAATGCAAAATCCTAGATGTTTGCACAATTGGTTAAATCAGAGCTAATTTAAATAAAAGATATATATATCGTTGGATATTATTATATGTTTGTTTATTTCGGATATGTGCCCAAGCCCATAGAAAAGGTGTCCATCTAAAAATTATCATATAATGCATTATTTTTGTAGGAAGTAAGGTGTGCATGTGGAGCCATGTTCTTGTGATTGTCCCTTGTGTGTGTGTGTTCGTGTAATACATTCAAATCTAACCGTGAAAATTCATCAAACCATTTTACAACAAAACGCATTAACTTCTTACCAAATAACTTTGATTGAAAATCATGCCCCCTTGGTTGACAAAACCATTTAATTAAATATGTCCTCCTTATTTTGTCACTTTGGTTAGGACGATAAGTTGTAAATTTTGGCATATCCCTTGGATCCAAAGGAAAATCATTCAAATCAAAAGTTAGTTCATTAGATTGTGGAACTTGTGGTCTTTGAGTAAGTTCATTAGTTTGTGGAACTTGTAGACTTTCATTAGGCTTATTTATTTCAGAAGGTCCTCTACCATTGTCTTCTTCAACATTTTGTCTTTTGAAAAAAATAATAATAGAATCCTATAATGAAAAGATTTCATCAAAAACTTGATTTCAAGTTGCAACAGTAAATAACAACTATTAACAATAACAACTAACTATAAACAGTAAGTCCCTAATTAAATAAATTTATAAACCTAATTTTCAAATTTTAAAATTTTCGATACAATATTCAAATAATGGAAATTTGAAATAGCCTAAATTAGTAATAGGATTGAGAGTCGAGAGTCGAGAGTTGAGAGTTGATTCATTATATTACCTTCATCCGATTTAATCAAGTAGCAAACAAAAAAAAATATGGGTTGGGCTTCTTTCTTCCTTAAGATTGAATATGGACTTAAAATTTTTGGACTGCCAACACATATTTTGGACCTCTTTAAACATTTAGTTTGAGCTGCATTGTGTTTGGATATAAGTTAGGAGTAACCCAATTTTTTTAAAGGTAGTCCATAAAATTTTCATAGGTAGCACCGGAACTACAAAAATCTGAAAAAATTTATGCTACTTAATGAAATTTGAGAGCTACCACGGGCTCTCATATAGATTTGCCAATGCTTGGGGGGGTGTGTGTATATATAACCACCCCAAAAAATTTTCTTAGCTCTAATATCATTTCTATCATAAGTATTTATAAGCATTTATAAGACATAAATGATAATTTAAAATACAAATAGTTTTGCTTTTAGATAACGTATTTTCTTGTAACGAATTTTAATACTAGCTCTTATTAATTGTCTAACATCATGAATATGATTATTGTTTAAAATCGTACCTAGATTATTAGGTTTGTAAGAATCCTTGAGATTTTGCTCAGAATTATTTATAGATTCTTGAATTTGTTGTATTTTTAAAAGAATATCTCTATTAGGAATACAATTCATCAAGATTTTGTTAGACATAATTAAATAATTCAAGCATGAATTTGATTAATTTGATTATTAAAAAACGACTACTATTTTAACAAACATTTCAAATCTTGTAGAATTAATTGTTAGAACAACTCGAAATGAAACTATCATGGAGAAATAGAAGCAATACAACAATTGAATAAAATATTTTAGATAATACCTTCTTGAATTAAGCTTGAATTACAATCAGTACATACATCTGGAGAAAGAATTATCTGAAAATCTAGAGACTTTGAACATCTGCTAGTAGAAAGAGAGACTCTTGGAGATTTTTTAGACATAGAATGAACATTTTTTAGAGAATGAATATTTTTGTTTGTCCTTCTTTTCTAACACATGATGTCTATTTATGTTGCTCTTGAAGTCTTCAAAACCTTGAAATCTTGTAATGAAATCTTGCCGTATGATTCAATGGCCAATCAATAATTTGTAAGTGGTTGTCATTTTCATCTTTTGAAGAAATTGTTTTTTGTAATCAGTAAATATCACCTTTTGATAAAGCATGTCATAATAGAGCATCTTCTAAAGTTTTTTGTCTTCATATTATCCATTATGGAGCATCTTGTAAAGTTTTTTGTCTCCATAATATTATTGCTGATGAGAATAAATAATTTTGATAATAAATTTGATAATATTTGTTTTATACACTATAAATACATATAGTGTATAGTTACACAGTATATACACACTCGTATTTGAAAATAATGGATTTGATAAATAGAAGAAACGAAATACCCTACATTGAAGGTATTACACCAAATTTAAGACTTTCTTATTATTCATAAGGATCATCAAAAGGGTCTTGAGCGTCTTGAAATAAACCATTCTTTATAGATTTTGGAGAATCGTCAGAAACTGATGGAGTTTGGCGAATTTCTTGAAGTAAGTTTTGAAGTTCTTCAGGAGAAGAGGTAGCAGCATCCTTAATTCTTGAAATTAGATCCACATCACTTTGAGGAAGACTTTTGATAAAAGTGGCTTCAAAACCTCCGGTTTTTGAATATATATTTCTTGATAATATTTAATTACTGCTTGTTCACTGGCTTGAGAAATCTTCATTTTATCCCACCATTTTGAGCGAATTGTCGATTAAGCCAGGGAGGAGAGGAATCCTTTGCTTCTTGATAATGAAAATCCAAGACATTATCCATGGAACTCTGAATATCATAGTGAATTGTAGCATATATTCAAATTCTGGAATTTGTTGAATAAACAATTCCTTAAATTTGAGATATCCATCGTAAATTTCTTTTGGTAAACAATTTGGAAGATTCCCATATATTTGTACCAATTGATAAACCATCTTGGGTATTCACAATTGAAGTTCAAATCAAAGAAGATAAACCATGAGTGTGAATAATTCCGAATAAAGAACGCCTTAGTCCAGGCATCTTGATAATCATAGTAAGAAAATCTGGGATAAGCAGGATAACTTATAAGAGGTTTTTCAGAATGAAGGTTTGGAACCCAACTTTCTGAGAAATGATTTTGATGATGTGAGCTTTGCTAAAATCAATGTTTCCTTCTTTTGAATTAGAACGATGAACAAAATTGACCGAACCAGATTCTTGCAAAATAGCTTGATAATATTCTCGAGTTTTATATGAATCAACATAAAAGGTTTTCCCTTGACCAAAAAGATGATTGTGAGAATATGAAAACCTTGATGTAACTTATGGATTTGAAAATCTTCAAGAATTTGAACTCTTAAGAAATTTGGATTAAGAACATAAGGAGTTTTTGTAGAAGGGCTAGGAGTCACAGAATTTTGAGTTTGAGGAGTAAAAGGTCTTACAAAAGGGCTTATCGTGTTTGTTGAAGTAACTTCTGGAGTAACAAGTTTTGACTGAAGGATATTAGAATAAAAGTTGTGAATTCTTAGAAGTAGGAGTTAAAGGAGAAACACGATTTTGATTTTGAAATGGAACAAGCTTTTGATAGACGAGCTTCTTGTCATCATGTTTGGAAGAGGACGATGAACTCATTTTCCCTGCAAAAATTCTCGAGAAAGAAAGTCAGGAAGCGAATTATTTTCGCCTTTTATGAATTCTATTTCGAAATCAAATTTACCTAAAAGGGCTTGCCATCGAGCAAAAATTTGTTTGGAAATAATATTTTTCACATCTTTTTCTAAAATAGTTTTTGCAGATTGACAATCTATTCTTAATAAAAAACTTTTCATAAATAAATCATCTTCAAATTTTTTAATACATAAAACAATGCTTAAAATTTCATTTTTGACAGTTGAATAATTTCTTTGTGTATCATTCCATGCACCAGAGTAATATCGAACCAATCGTTCTTCTTTTGAATTAACAAATTTTTGTTTTAGAATTCCTCCGAAATCCAATATCACTAGCATCGGTTTCAACTATGATATTGGCATTGGGATGAGGTAAATTTAAACATGGCAAAGTAGGAACCTTTTGTTTTATATATTTAATTATATCTGTATGTTTTTTAGTCCATGTTTACACTAATTGTTCATTGTGTATGCTAATTAGTGAGAATGAACAATTAGTGTGAAAACAAAAATAAGTAAGAATTAGTGTGAAAACAAAAATAAGTAAGAATGAAAATGAGCGTTGTGTGCAACTTAAATGAACAATTTACTTTAGAATGTATATATTGTTACATTTTGTTATAATTTGAAATATTTTTCTACTCGTTCATATTTTGTAAATTATTTGGCCTACCCTAAAACAAAATCCTGACTAGGCCACTGTTATAACCTAGCCCTAGATATTATATATATATATATATATATATATATATATATATATATAGATAGATATATATATATATATAACCCATATCCAAACACCCCTTAGATTACATTCCAACATATTAGAACTTTTAATTAACAATATTTTATCCATATAATTATATTTTTGTGCAATGGAGCTAGTATTAACAATAAAAAGGTTTGTGTTGAATATTAAATTCTATGGAAATTCTATATGAATTTTTAGATTATCCCCAACGCATGCCTTAAATTTTTTATTATACATACTTCTTGTATAATTAGACTCCCTATAATGCAATATTACTTGTAAACATCAATGGTTTAACGCTGGTTTTTGTTAAAGGTTTCATATTTACATAACAAAATCATTCTGAGGTTTGTGTATTTTTTTTCTCTATTTTATTAATATTCTTATAATCTTATGTTGACGTTTCAGTCGATTCAATTATAAATATTCGATTGATTAAAAGAACTTGATTACTTTAACTTTTTAATGAGTGAAAGACACACTAATATATTTTATTAACACGTCACTACCATATATATATATATATATATATATATATAGATAATATATATATATATATATATATATATATATATATATATATATATATATTAATCACCCTTAGAAACAACTTCAAAATATGGAATTGCTCATTTACATATGAGGACTAATTCCAACAATTTTCGATTTATGTTGAAAATGTAAGATTTTTATTTAATAAAAGTATTTGTTTTAATTTCTAAATGATATAATTTGATTAAATAATATATTAATACAGTTTATTAAGTTACTAGAAACATATAAAATACATGAATAAAGTTTGTAAAGTAGAAAT